TAGTTTTGAAGATATGTTAAAATTAACATACTTGGCCCTCCGTGGCCCCGAGGAAGGGGGGGGGGGCGTGAAGAGCGTGCCAACCAGGGAGGTGGTGCGCCAAATTTAATGCCTCATATCTCTAGCTACAGTAGTTTTAGAGATACGCGCCTCTAAAGATACCATATCCNCCCGAAAAACTACTGTAGCTAGAACAAAACTTTAAACTATAAAAATATGTATAATTTTATTTTCTTTATTTTTTTAGTTACCAAAATTTTGATAGCTACCGTAGTTTTTCAGTTATGCGTCTTTAAAGTTGGCCGCCCTGGTGCTACCGCCTCCACCGTCGCCAGTCGGAGTTGCATAACTTTAAAGGCGCATAACTCAAAAACTACTGTAACTAGAACAATGAATTTTGTACCAAATTATAGCCACTTTCAGCGATGAAGTTTTCGATAAGCTTTCTCTGGCTTCTCCTCCCGACTTCCTTCGCTCAAACCAACTTCAGTCATTATGAGAGTGTCTACTTGCCAATTGGTGTTGGTGAACCTCAATCTTCAGAACCGAGTTCAAACCCTTTGGATTGTTCCCTGAAATCTTCACAACGTGTGGCAAATTCACTTCTCCTAAAATAAACCCAGGAATGCCGGATACAGTAGCTTCGAGCTTGGAAATTTCCGTGGATTGTGAGCCAACGCCAGGAAGAGTCATCGTTTCGGACGCTCAGAATTTTGGAGATTTCAAAAGAGATTTGAAGAAAGAGTGTGAATTGTTGACTTGCTCCTCGTCTGTGTATCCTAATAAAGGGGATCCGATAACTGGATTCTCGAATCAAGTGACTGGAATTGACGCAAAGGCAGCGGAGCCCGAGAATCCGGCGAGAAGCGTCTGTGAGGATAAGCTTATGCAGTATCCGGTGAGTAACTTTGTTCATTTTGCTCCTAGGGAGTGGATCTATGTGTCAATCGATTGGAAATCAAATTTTAGGTTTAGCAAGTTAATTTTTGAACAAAAAACAAAAGCAAGAATTCCTGGAATTTTGGCTCGAAAGTTTTTCGAGCCAAATTTTCTATTTTGATATGTTTAAGCATAACTTGGTTCATATTGGTCCTAGAGCTTTGCTTTCAGTTTCAATCGATAGGAAATCAAATTTTGAACCCAGACGATGAATTACAGAACAATCAAGATTTCACAATTCTCTATGCCAACGAAGGAAACTGCTTTGAATTCGCCCCAAATCTCAAGGATATTGTGTCCCCGAGCTCCGGAAAAACGATCAAAACTAGACAAGTGCCCAGATGGTTGAAGAAGGATCAGGATCGAGTGGATATTCGAAATTTCTATTTTTCTGATGAGGTAATTTTGATTGGGTCCGTAGTTGACTCCTAGAGTAGCCCTTACGTCTACTCCACAAACGTTAAATGCGTCGTAAATCAGCCAGTTTTGAAGCAATCTGTGAAATTTTACTATTTTCTTGCTCGGCTTGTTGAGAGCTTCAAAATGAGTATAAACATGACCCACTTTTGAAACATCGTTGTTGGACCCTTATTTGGGCCCCCTAGGTAACCCTCTAGCTAGTAAAAACGCCTTAATTCAGTCAATTTTTGACTAAACTCAAAAATGTTATCAGTTTCATTATCAGCTTGTTAAGGGCTTGAAAATGAGTATAAACATGACCTACTTTCTCTGATTTTCTGTTTTGGACCCCTTTTGCGCCTTTAAACGTCAAAAATCAAAATTGAGCAATCCTAGTCGTGTTTATACTCATTTTGAAGTTCTGAACCCGGAAATTTTGAGAATTCTATTTTCATCAAGTATAGACAAATATTAGACGAGATACGGTACATTGAAAATTTCAGAAATCCGAAAATCTGTTCCGCGTCCCTTACGCCTTCACATTCAAGGATCCACCACAACAGAAGATAGCTTATAAAGAATGTGGAACAGCATGCGACCAAGGTACCGTACTCAAATACGGTATGAAGCAAGGAACATACTCAATGATGATCTATGTAAACGCTCAAAAGTGTAGCTCATTCCGAATTTGTTTTAACCCCGAAGACTACAGTGATGATGATAAAATTCCAAAGTGCAAAGATGATTTTATTATTGATGTGCTCTTCAGAAACGGAGTAATTGTTTGGGGCAAAAAGGGGCGGAGCTCGGTGATAGAGTTTATCAGTGCTTATCATGACGAGGCCACTACAGTACCCATAGAGTTTGGATTTGGAGTTAAAGTCGGGGGAAAGACATCTGGAAATTTCTATTTTGGAAACGATCATCGGGAGATGGTGACAAGTGATTCTGGTGGATACGGTACTGATATCGCTACACAATTGGCGTTTTTCTTCCCAGATGATAGTTGTTTAACGAAGACGGCTGGCATTTTTTCAAAGGTACTGAATTGGAGGTTTACATCAAGAAATTCCATTTTCTAGAATTTGCCTAGCATTTTTCAGCGATTTTCAAAAAACGTCAAAAATATAGATTCAAAGCAATTTTTAGCAGTTTTAGAGTCAAAATTATTAGTTTTTGAGCTCAAAAACTCCAAAAACCAACTTTTTTGACCTATTTTGGCCATTTTTCGAAAAAATGCAAAAATGGCTCAGTGGGATTTTCGCTATCAATCTGAACACCCGGGTTCGATTCCACTCGTTGCCAAACTTTTTTTGATTTTTGTGAGGATCATTTTTAGCCATTCTAGCCTTCTAGAGCTAAAATTTTGGAATTTTGAAAAATCTGAAAATTACAGACAGTAATTTTTTTTCGGATTTTCCCGTTTTTTCTGTTGGAAATAGCTGAAATTTTGTTAAAAACACCAAATATGATCAAAAAATCCCTTGAAAATCAATTTTTCCGGTCTTTTTGAGCGTTTTTCCGAAAAATGCACTTTTGGCTCAGTGGATTTTTCACCATTTTCACTATCAATCTGACGACCCGGGTTCAATTCCTCTAAGTGGCAAACCTTTTTTATTTTTGTGTAGACCATTTTCAGACTGTTCTAGAACATTCTAGATGTCAACAATCGAGATTTTCGAAAAACCCTATTTTTGGAAAATTTTCAAAAAAATTTTTTTCCAAAATTGGTTGAAAATATGATTTTTTTAGGCGAAAAAAAACTTTTAAAAAATGATAAAAATGATTTCCAACTCTGAAAATTCTATTTTTCTTTCATTTTTTAGCGGTTTTCCGAAAAATGCATGAATGGCCCAGTGGGATTTTCAGCACAATCTGAAGACCCGGGTTCGGTTCCACTCGGTGGCAAACCTTTTTTATTTTTGTGTAGACCATTTTTAGACTATCATAGAACAATCTAGAGCTGGAATTTGGGAATTTTGAAAAATCTGCAATTTTTTGGAAAAATTTTTTTGTCTGAAATTTTCAGATTTTTCAAAAAATTCTAAAATTCCTGCTCTAGACTGTTATAGAATGGTCTAAAAATGGTCCAAACGAAGAGCAAAAAGGTTTGCCACCAGGTGGAATCGAACCTGGGTCGTCAGATTGTACTTAAAATCCCACTGAGCCATCTGAGCATTTTTTGGAAAAACGCTCAAAAATCATGAAAAATAACCCTTTTTGGTTCAAAATATTTGACATTTTCCAGACAATAACCTATGGAAAATCGCTAACCGATGGGGACGTCGTAAAAGACTACGTAAAATTTGATGAGCAAGGGCAGCAAATTGATCTATCAACCAACGAACAGGCCACAACTACAGTACAACCAAAAATCAACAATTTCGTGTTCACCACCACCCCAATGTCCCCGCGGATCATTCCCGAACCTGGAGCATTGAGCCTGATAGAATCTGATGAAGGAAACAATGAAGCTCTCTATATTACTGGCAAATGGTGGATTTGGGGAATCTATTTTGGATTCATCGCTGGAACACTCTTGACGTTGGGTATTGGTGGAGGACTGTTTTATGTGCTAAGACGCACTGTGTTTAGTGTTTGGTTAGTTTTAAAGTATAGGAAATTTTATGAGCTATATCTTTTGTAGTTTACAAAATTTGGATAGGTACTGTAGTTTTTGAGATATGCGCTTTTAAAGGTCGTGCGCGCTCTGTAGAAGAGGTGAGGAAGGCGCCATCTTTGAAGGTGCATTTCTCAAAAACCATGGAAGTTATCAAACTTTGGTAAACAACAAAAATGTAGAGCGTTAAGTTTCACACATTTCTGTAATTTACCAAATTTTTATAGCTACTGTAGTTTTTGAGATATGCGTCTTTAACGTAGGCACGCCTAGGACGCCCCCCCGGAAGACATGGAGGATGCGCCATGTTTAAAGGCGCATATCTCAAAAGCTACGGTAGCTATCAAAAAGTTGTCAACTACAAAATTTTGTGAAATTTGATTATAGTTTTGATGTACAATTTTTCCATAGTCATTGTAGTTTTTGAGTTATGCGCCTTTAAAGGTGGCGCGGCCGAGGTGCCTCCGGAAGGCATGGAGGGTGCACCATGTTGAAAGGCACATATCTCTAAAACTAAAAAATCTAGAAAAAAAACTGTAATTTAAAAAATGTAGTGCGTTAAATTTTGCATTTTTTCGTAGTTTATTGAATTTCAATAACTACTGTAGTTTTTGAGGTATGCGCTTTTAAAGTAAGCGCGCCT